GCAACTAAAAGAATACACTATCAGCAGAAGTGACACGATGTGACTTAAAACCTTTAGCTGCCATGTAAGCAGCTGACTGCCCAGTGCAGCCATGTTGTAAGGAAGCCCAAGGTAACCTGTGCAGAGACACCATGAAGGCAGGCCCTGAGCCTATAAGAAGAAAGGGAGCCTGGGCCAGCACCCACTGCTCCAGCTCCTGCCACAAACTAACACCAGCTGTATGAGGGAGACCAACCAGAACCACTCAGCTAAGCCCTTTCTGAATCTCTGACCCACAAAAACCATGAGAGCTAATAAAATAATTGGTGCTGCTCTAAACCATTAAGTGTTAGGTGATCTGTTGGGTAGCAATGGAGAAGTGGAATATCCACAATAAGTACATGTGACACTCTACAGAGTCAGTTTCCATCCTCCTCCTCCTCTCCCATCTTGCTTAATCCTCACAACCACACTGGGAAGAACATCATTTTCTCATTTTAGAATGATGACACAGACCCCAAGAGGGTGACTGAATCGTTCAAGGTCATGACTAATAAGTGGCAAAGGAAAGATTCCTATTCAGGAATTCTGACTCCAATTTCTGTGATTTTTTTTTTTTCCTGCTGCACCATAGCTGATTCCTAGGTTAGACTTGAACTAGAAAGGCGAGAAAAATACACATATACACACACAGGTGTGAGTGAAGATCAAAAGGGATCATTCTGCTCCAACTTTCCAGGCACAGAGAAACCAGGCCTTCCTCAAGCAGCATCACCCAGACTACAGAAATACCCAAGGATAAAATAAGTGGCTATCCGAAGGCCACGTAGTTAGCAAATGATAACAGGGCACTGGGACTGAAGAGGTCCTGTTGTTTGTATCACTAGATATCTCAACTGACAGTCTGGGCATCATTTTAAGAAATGAGTTTTCAGAAATACTTGTCATACCCCAGAGAAGTTTCAGCGTACCCACAGATGATGGCAGCATTCTTGGCCCTGAACGCTGACAGGATGTCAAGATGAGCTTCAGCACTTGTAACCAAAAAGTGCCGTGATGAAGGGAGCTTCTATTTTGACTCCATTGACTGACATGTCTTGTCTACCTCTATGGTTTTTTTTTCACTAAAATCTTTAAAGTCACAAATTGATGGAGACAGAGGATGTATACTGTTCATGGTAAATGTGTGCCCGTAGTAGATCACTTTGAAATAAGATGGCAGCAGACCAAGACTTCAAATGCATCTATGGAAGGTCTGAACAGGGGTTCATCACAGAAGAATTCTACCAAAATGACCTTCTACAGGTCTAAAAAGAAACATTGTCAAGAAACACAAACATAAGAAAAACAAGTGAATAAAACCGTTACCAGGTCCAAAACAAAAAACTAGAAAATAATTTACAGTAAGAGTCAACAAGTTCAAGTTCTAAATTCCTATGTTGCTATCCTATCTTTCAAAGAACACAGGGATAAAGAGAAATGTATCAATAATGTGCTGTGTCTTACAGCAATGTTTTCTAAACAGTCTCTCTTATCTCAGAATCACTGGAGAGATTTTTTTTTAATACCCATAGTCTTAGATCCTACTCCCAGAGACTCTCAATCAGTAGGTTCAGATGGGTCCCACAGATATGTAATTCTAATGCACAGCCAAGTCTGGGAACAATTCATGTGTCAGAGAATGTTCACTGTAACTGTAGTAGCAGAACTTCAAACTGTTATTGGAGAACACGGCTTCCTTGAATAAAAACTCTTTTCCCTTGCTTCCCTTGCAGCTAAGTGGCAGCTAAGGATAGCCATGAAACTAAGCTATGCCAATGGATCTAAAAGGATCTGAGGTGTGAAATTTCTAAAATATGTTCTCACAGGAAGGTGAAATGCTCCACCTTGACATGCCTTCTTTCCCACCAGCTGGAATGCAGAAAACATAGCTGAAGCTCTTTCTTGTGGACCATGAAATGACCTTGGGAACGTCAACCAAACAGGTTGGGGCAAAAGATAAAGGAATCCCTGATATGGGCATTCCCTATATCAATGCCCTCTAGACATCTTAAACACAAAGAGAAGACAGGCACAAATCTTGCTTAAGCCATTGTTAGTTGGGATTTTTTGATAAATCACAGTAAAATCTACGACCAATACAAATAACAACCTTATAGTTTCCCTCTAGGTCTAATGTCCATTATCACCACTGAAATGGTATAAGGCAAGAACTTGATTTTAATCTGCAATTTACCAATGAGGCAACCGAGATAAATTGTTATTACTTGCTCAAAGCCACATGGCTATTAGACTAGGAATGGGGCCAGGATTTAGACTCATGACTCCCAGCTTCAAAAATGAATGGTCTTTGCCTACACTATTTTGCAGGGGATTCACTACCAAAACTGAATGTGTACCTTTCAGAAAACTGAGCAGACGAGGAAAGCTGCTAGCTAGAGAATCTACAGCAGGAAGAGAAACCTCCCAGCAAATACAGGCATTGTCTCCCATTTGTAGCTCTTTTATTCCTTTTCCATTTCTTTCTTTTTTTTTTTTTTTTGAGTTGGAGTCTCACTCTGTCACCCAGACTGGAGTGCTCCCCATCACTGCAGCCTCGACCTGCTGGGCTCTGGCGATCCTCCCGCCTCAGCCTTCCAAGTAGCTGGAACTACAGGCGCACACTACCACACCCAGCTAATTTTTTTTTGATTTATTGTAGAGATGAGGTCTCGCCAAGTTGCCCAGGCAGGTCTCGAACTTGCGGGCTGAGGCAATCCACTCACCTCAGCCTCCTAAAGCGCGGGATTACAGGGTGAGCCACTGAGCCCCGCTCTTTTTCCATTTCTATTGTTCACTTCCTTGATTCTTATCAGGTTTTTAGGTAGCCTTGAGTCATAATAATGTAAATACACTTGGGGAAAAATAATTTCCTCACTCTGGGCTATCTCAACTAGTTAGCAGGGTTCTCATCCAAACTAATCCACCCTAAACTAACACGTCACGGCCGTGACCCAGCCCACAAGAAATCAAACAAACCTTCACCAAGGCAAGAAAACAGATGTTCCCAAAATTAGGGCCCCCCCCCCAACCAGCCTTGACCAAGGAAACCAATCAGCCTGCCCATTAGCATAGATGTAAAACAGAGACCATGGCTGCCAAAGAGCAAAGGAGAGCAGGCCTGGCAGATGGTCAGGGCTGAATCAATGTGCAGCATTTCTCACCTCCTGACATTCGTATTTTTTTGTTTATCATTACTTCCTCTCCCCTCCTGCTACAGAATTTAAGAATCAGAAGAAAGGAGGTCTTGTATTTTGTTTGTTTACTGCTACTTTCCAGCACACAGAACAGTGTGAGATACATGACACAGGTGCAAGACGTGTTTGTCAAATGAATGAACAAACAAATGAGAACGGTGCAGTAGGACCTTCCTCACCTAGGTCCTCTGGCCTGGGATGAATGACCAACTCGCTATGTCCTCAATTCCTTCCTGCAGAGACAGCACAATCATTTCACTTTTCCTACTCACACGATCTTCCTCCTTGGACTCCTCAATCTGCCTCTCTCTCCACCCATCCATACTTCATCCAGGCGGGAGAAACCATGAAAAATGCTCCCATCCTCAAGGGGTGTCCTTGCAGTTCGTCTAAAGTCTCCTCCTTCACTGCCAAGCGTCTAAAGAACTTAGTCTAAATCGCTGCATAAGACCTGTATTTCTTCACGACGCACTGAATTGTATCACCAGTACTACTAAAAATCCCACTCACATAAACAGCATACTACACTTTGAAAGAGTTATCTCTTCCAGGAGTTTGAAGTGTAATATTCTTTATTCCAGGAAATGGAGTAAATCTGTATTTAACTAAAGGTAATAAAAAATACCCATAATTTTGAAAACATACTGTGTACCAGGCTCTATTCATGGCTTTATCCGGCCATCTCATCTACGTCGCAAAACTGTTCTGTGAAAACAGATATTATTTTCTGAAGTGTACTGTCGAAACTCCTGAAGTTCAGAGAGGTTACATAACTTGCTCCAGTAAGCACAGCAGAAGCCACCAAAGCTGGGATAGGAACTCAATCTTGTCTGTCTCTCAAAAGTCTTGCTTTTTTTTTTTTGAGTTGGTGTTTCGCTCGGTCGCCCAGACTGGAGAGCAGTGGCCACTCCCAGCCACCGCAGCCTCGACCTGCTGGGCTCCGGCGATCCTTCCGCCTCAGCCTTCCGAGTAGCCGGAATTACAGGCACGCACTACCACGCCTGGCTGATTTTTTGATTTATTGTAGAGATGAGGTCTCGCGGCCCAGGCGGGTCTCGAACCCGCAGGCTCTGGCAATCCCCTGACCTCAGCCTCCCAAAGGCGCGGGATTACAGGCTGAGCCACCGAGCCCGGCTAAAAGTCTTGCTTTCTGCAGACATGCTCTCAGTCTTCCCCACCACGGAAACAGGAAGAAGTGAGAAACCAGTGCTCACAGACACGAACGCAGGACTTTGAGGGTGGGAGGAGCAGTAGAGAGGAGTGGGCCAGTGTTCCGAATTTCGAAAGAGTTGCCAAGAAAGTATACTCTAAAAGGCAGGAAGCGATATAAAGCTACAAAAGTTCAAATTACTGCTTTAGATAGGCAAACAAGTTTCTGGTCCTGAATTGCTGAGGCTGTTGATACCCTGGCCCGAGGGAACTGTCCACCAGGGCCACAACCCCAATTGCACCATTTACACTATAGTCTAAGTAACAGAAGTCTCAGGATGACAACTAGGTGTAGAACCCCTGAGCGTGTCAAAATGAGCCACACGGAAACAGCTGGTAGGTTCTACCAGCTAGCTTAACATCTCTGTGGGATGAGGCCTTCTTAGCCCCATCTTTCAGAAGGGAAAACGAGGCTGCGAGAGACCAGACGACTTGCCAGGCCATTCAGCAAAGCCGGTGAGCACGCCGAAGTCACACTCGGGCCCCGGCACTGGCTGAGCCTCCAGAAGGCACGGGCAAGGGGTGAGGCGCCCGGCACGGTGGGAGCCTGCCTCCCGGGCTCCAGGTGCCCTTTACCTCGCACTTCTCCACGACCGGCTGCTGCCCGCACTCGGAGCTGTTGCCCGCCACGATGCCAGCCCGGAGGTTCTCGCTGTCCCCGGTACCCTCCTCCATGGAGTAGGTCTTGGAGTGGTTGCCGCGGCGATGGGCGGGGGCTCGGCCCTGGGCCAGGCTGAGCTGCCGGCGGAGGGCGCGGTTCTCCTCCTCCACCTCGCGCACGCGCACCTCCAGGCTCTCGCGCTCCCGCTGGCTGGACGCCGAGTATCTGGGGCTGTGCGCCTGGGACTCCAGCGGGGACAGGGACACCGGCTTTCCATCTGAGGGTGTGAAAGGCCAGGGGAGAGTTAGTCAGAAGGAACCGCGCCCAAGCCCCTCCGGGTCGCCCAGACTTCCATTCCACAATCCTGTGTCTAAGGGAAAGCAGATGGAAAGCAAGTTACAAATAAACGCATCCAGGTTTGGGAACAAAGTTGAGAACAGAATGACTTGCGGCAGCAATAAAAACAAATATGCTTTTTAGAGAAGACAATCATCATAAAAATTGTTCCTAATTAAACGCACTGCCGTCCTTTCTCTACTTGGCATGTTTCTAAGTAGGCATTCTTGACAAGAATGCATTATGAATGTGAAGGAAAGGTAGAGGGGGTTGAGGTGAAAGAGGGAGAAGGAGTATGAGGGAGAAGGAGCAAGTGAAGAAGAGCAAACGAAGAAGAAAAGGAGTAAAAAGAAGATAATGATAAGATGGCGAGCTCTTCCTATGCGAACTCCCATGCATCCTTCAAAACCCTGATTACCTCCCAGGGGAAACACTCCTCCATTTGCAGAAAAATACATGCTTCGGTATATTCCAACAGTAATTTGAACATAGTGCTGCAAAAACACTTATCTGACATTCTGCTTTTGGTAAACTGTTTTAACTAAATGTGTCCTATGAAAGTTGGGAGTTCAATGAGGGTAAAGGTTGGATCTTGCTTGTCTTTGTGGTATGACTGTATCAATGCCAAGAATAAAATAATTAAAGGCAACATGGGATGAGAAAGTAGGAGCATGAGCAATCCCAAGGCTATGCAGCAAGCTAGCAATTAAATTATTATTTAATTATTAATGCAAAAACCTCATCTCCCGAGGGTACTTAGTATATTACCTTGTATTTAGTAAGTGCTCGATGTATGCTTACTGTGGAGAAGCCCCAGTGACACAAAACATACCTAAAGCTGTCACTTCTTTCGGTCCCCACTCTCTAGAAATCCTGGAATCCAGCTACACTTTACAGCTGCTTCTGGTGCTACCAAGCAAAAAGTCACATCTCTAGAAAACCATCCTCTCTGCCTTCTGTCAAAAAAAACAAAAAACAAAAAAAACACTTCTCTTTTTCCATACCTCAAGCTTTTCTCCTTCCTGCCCAGACCCCACTGAGCTTCCAAACTGTCCCAGAGAGAATCTATGACTCACAAACTTAAGGATCAAAGAATGTGATGAATGACACCCTCCAAGTCTCATCCATGCTGCCTGTGCTGCCCTAGCCTCTGCCCAGTGCTTTTTGATGTCTCTTTGGGCCATAACAAATACCACTCCTTTTTTTTTTGGTTCCTCTTAATCACCTCAGGGTTAAACGCCTAAGATCCCGATCCTCCCCTATCAATGCAACAAATATGACTCAATGAATTCCACTGCCTAGGACCACAAATCAAAGGCCAAGGCAGAATCTGTAAGGGACATATAATCACAGGCTGATTAGTTGCATTGTCACAGAGCTGGCAAATGACAAGCTCCAACCCAAGCTTTTGAAACCTGCCTCCCGGTTTGGTAAAGCCAAATTAGTTACAATGAGAATGGAAAAAAAAAAAAAAAATAGGCAGCTATCAGTCACCATGTTGTGTCAACTAACAAACACCCTTCGAGCAGGCGGTAGGCGAAGATGAACACCTGGTTTCCATCAGAGGGTGGGGGGTCAGACGGGCTGGTATGGATCTGTACCCTGCTAGGTAGTTGATGCTGATAATGCCTTAAATTATGATCACAGCACAAGGGTGTGGCAATAGTTATCCACATTACAGATACAGAAACCAATATGAAGAGTTGAAACCATGTTCTGATTATGTTGCAGCCTGATTGTGACTTTGCTCTCAGCCAAGCTCTGGCATTTGTGTGCAGAGTTAGAAGCAAAGATGCTCTGGGGCCTGAGGGGTCTTCCTTCTCAGGAAAGGATTTTGGAGTATTTGAGCAGGAACTGAGGATGCACTGGAAACCCATCAGGGTCCCAGGGTCTCTAGAAAGTAAAAATAAATGGGACCCATGAGTTTGTTCTTTGGAGGGGTTGCTTCAATGCTCTGAGCTTCAGTTGTCTCTCCTGTAAAATGGGAACATAAATGCTAACCTAGCAAGAGTGATAGGAGGCTTAAAAGACACCAACGTACAAAGCACTATGCCCCTTGGAGGTGCTTGGTATGACTTCCTGCGACCCCTTTCCAATGAGGGGAGGTGTTGGTTTCCTTTCATATATACCCTGAAACGTGGAACCTCTGAACTTCTTGCCTTCAGCCTTAGCCAGGTCAAGGTTAACCCATAAGAAACATGGCAAGGCAGGCTTCACCGTGGAAGCCGGGTCATGTTCTCAGGCTCCTCTCCCCAAAACCTCACATTTTATACTCTATGTAAATTACATTTATAATATAAATTACAATTGTTTGATTATGGGCTGATGAGGAATGCTATCAACATCTTATACCCATTTCCACCTGTTTCTGACCCCAAATGGTTTTAACCAAACTTAGCTCTCAAAGACTTGCAGGTTTTTCCCACTCTGGAAAACCCTGTAGATTTGTCACCAATGAGAATACACAAAATAATAAATGTCAGGTCTTAAGGAGAGAAACCCATGTTGAAAAAGAAACACGCTATGCCCAACTCCTGGCATGGAAAAAATGCCCAATAAATGGCAGAATTGTAATTTCTTTTTTTTTTTTAAGACCTGTTATCTCAAGCCAACCTCTTCTACTTCCTCAGCCAGTTTCCTCTTCTAAAATGGAGGGCATTGGAGATGCACTCAGAAGCCCCTCTGGCTCTAACTCCATGGCCCGTGGTCCGGATGATCCCAGCACTGCACAATCCAAAGTTATGTAAGGAGTTCTTGTTGCCTTGTCACCGTCACAGCTCACTCTAGTTTCTTTCATCCTGACTCTTGCATTTGTTCCTGGACTGTCCATGTTTGTGGCTCCTGACCTCTTTTTTGAGCTTCTCCTGACCCTCTCAAGAGTGGGAGTGGGGAGAGAGTCAGGAACACAACTGGTCAGTCTGCTTAGATGTGGTCTGTATATCTCGGTTACATCTCAAGGGCTCTGGTCACTGTCGGGAACACTGCTCAAGCTTTGTGTACAGGTCATCATTAGAAAGCCCATTTTATGGCCTATGGAAACAACTGTGCCCAAACCAGTATTTCTCAAACTACCAGTGATGAAGAACCAGATTTCTCTCCCAACCCGTCCTGGACATCAATTTGGTCCTAAAACACAAAGGTGGTAGAGAGCCTGTCCCACATACAACTCATCACTTGAACGCAACACACTGGTCTAATCCCTATTCATCAAGATACACACCTGATACTTCCACAAAGTCCAATTGCTCTAGAAGTTTCTAAATGCCTAGTTTCAAGTTCCATATGTATCTTGTTGCAGACCAGCAACAGTTTGGGAACTATGATGGTTCATTTTATGTGTCAACTAGACTGGGCCACAGGATACCCAGACAGTGAAATATTATTCTAGGTGTTTCTGCGAAGGTGTTTTAGAATGAGGGTAACATTAAAATTGGCAGACTGAATAAAACAGATATATTCTTCCCAATGTGGGTGGGCTTCATCCAATCAGTTGAAGGCCTGAATGGAACAAAAAGGAGGACCACCTTCCCAAAAAGATAAAATTCCTCCTGCCTGATAGCCTTTGAACTAGGAATCATATTTTTTCCTGTCTTCAAACACAAACGAAATCATCAGCTCTTCCCAGGTCTCGAGACTGCCAGCATTTGGGCTGGAACTGCACCATCAGATCGCCTGGCTCTCAGGCCTCAGACAGAAGCTACACGTCAGCTCTCCTGGGTCTCCAGTTTTCTGATGCACCCTGCAGATCTTGAGACTTGTCAGTCTCCATAATCACATAAGCCAATTCTTTACAATAAACATACCTGTAGACACACATCCTGTTGGTTGTTTCTCTGGATAACCCTGACCAAACGGAGGCCCACAACAGAACACAGATCAGACCTTGAGTGGAACTGATATCCAGTCTCTATTCCCAGAGCCTGGCTCACTTTCCATACACAATAAGCACTTAAAGAAGAGATGAAGAGAAGAACTGACACCGAACTAAAAGTAAAAAAGGCGGGGAGGGGACATAATATCTAGCAGGTCAGGCACAGTGGCTTATGCCTTTAATCCCAGCACTTTGGGAGGCTAAGGTAGGAGAACTGCTTGAGCCCAGAAGTTCAAGACCAGCCTGGGCAACATAACAAGACCTCATCTTTACCAAAAAAGTTAAAAAATGAGCCACATATAGTGGTATACCCCTGAAGTTCCAGCTACTTGGAGGCTGAGATGAGAGGATTGCCTGAGTCTAGAGGTCAAGGATGTGGTAAGCCATGAGCATGCCACTGCACTCCAGCCTGGGTGACACCCCAGCTTAAAAAAAAAAAAAGTCTGGCACATCATACACTACCAGTTATTTAAAAGAGACCTTATAATAATATTAAGTGTAGAGAGAAGAGGGAGAGATAACCAAGAAAAGCAAACAAATCAAGAATGGGAAAGGACAATTAAGCTCGTAAACTCATTTTAGAAAAAGTGCTACATACCTCATTGCTGAATATCACTACAGTCACCTTCGAAGTACTCCCTTAGGAAGCTATGCACCAATGCCAGTGCCTAGTCCCCCTGTCAAAGCAACTTTGGAAATCTTTCTCGGGAATGGCCATCAGAATCGTCACCATATTACCCTTGAAATTCTGAATGTCATCACTCTGCCTTTCAATATTTCCTTTAACTTCAGGTAAAGAAAAAAGTCACAGGGCCAGATCAGATGAGGGTGGGTGTTTCAATATAGTTATTTGTACAGTGATGCCAACGTAAGAGCACAGTGGCAAGTTCACAAACTTAACAGTCAGACCTCAACAAATAACGACAAAAGTTCTGATGGCCATTCCTGAAAAAGAGTTTCAAAACTGCTCTGATTGGGTGGACTAGGTGCTGGCATCAGTGCATAGCTTCCCAAGGGGAGTACTTCAAAGGTGACCCTACTGATAGTCATCAATGAGGTATGTAGCACTT